GTGTGTGTGCAGTTCGCGCACAAGCTGTATAGTTTGTGCACAGGCTCTGCGGTTCGCGTGCACGCTCTGGAGTTCGCGCACAGTTCGCGCACAGTTCGCGCACACGCTCTGCAGTTCGCGCCGCGCTACCACCCAACCTGCAGACCACCACCACAACCACCACAACTACTATTAAGATTAACCATGACAAGAGGCCAAAAAAGACAGCCAAGAGGAGGAAAAGACAGAAGGCAGTGCGCGCCTGTAGAACAAGGGGTTACAGCAGACAATGCAGCGGACTGCTTTCAGTTCCTGCCTAGGTACAGAGTGCTGGTCTGTCTTGAACATCACACGGGCATCTAGAGTCTTAACAGACATCTTATTAAATACTACTGTGTCCCTAAGCAAGAGAGGGTGGCAATTGTTAACTAGATCTGCAGCAGGTACACTTGGGTCTAGGAGCCTGACTAAGTGCAGCTCCCTCCGCCTAGGAGTCCCGCGTTAGAAGAGCTTGGGAGGCCGCTAGCAGCGTTACAATGCACTAAGGGGGGGTGCGAGTATATCAGCATCAACTAGGACGCGCTACAGAAGCATTGGGCAGACGCGCACACTACTGCCTAGGTTAGAGACACAAGCTAGCTGTACAAGAAGGTTAGGGTTTAGACCTTCTTCTGCAGAGGAGGGCTGCTACAATACTTTGTCATAGACGCAGGCCTAGAGGAGGAAGAAGAAGACAACAGCACACTAGCTGCTACCCCTAGCAATGTAGTAGACAAAGTCTAGGCTAAGCTAGAAGAATACAAGGCAACATAAGAGGCGCTTAAAGGTTAAGCGCAGGTTATAGACGCGCAGGCTGCTAAAACAGACAAGACTGGCTAGTTTAATTGCACAGGATAGCTAGAGCATCTCGCCAACTGCAACCTAGCCTATCTCGCACACTAGATCTAGCTACTAGGGCGAGATAAGGTACAGCTAAAGTAAGCTGCAAATCTTGTAGAGTTCTTAATTAAAAGGAGTGTAGCTAGGCTGTTAACACTTACGCAGGAGACAAGGCGTTAGCTAAGGAGTGCAAAGCAGATAGAGCCTGACTAGCGGCCGCTTGCTTGACTGTAGAACCCAGAGAGTCAGGCGCAGTATGCTAGATACATGGTCAAGTTTGTCTACTACCTGCTACGCATTGTAGCTAACAAGCAGGCAAGGATAATAAAGCAAAACAACAGTAGTAGTAAGAGCAGCAACGCACAAACTAACAAAGGTGAGGATAGTAGTGCTAGCAGCAACAACAGCGACATCACTACTTAACAATACTAACATTACCCTATCCACCGCCGCAGGACAAAGGTAGACACAATAAAGGACGCACGCGAGCTCTTCTGCTAGAAGGGCTAGCAAAAGAAGCTAGCGTTAGCGTTATAGAAGGCCTTAGGTGACCCTAGCAGCAAAAGGGTTAAGCTAGAGGACGTGCTACTTAATGTGCTAGCGTTATTTATCTTTAAGCTAGTAGGTAATTAGCTATTTAGTAGCAGGTTTGTTTACTTTCTAGCTGTGCTTAGCATTAATGCTACAGCCTAGCAACTGCGCAGGGCGAAACACTACTTATACATGCTTGCTAGCGTAGCATACTGCATACGCGTGTTAGGCGTTAAGAAGCTACTTCTGTTAGCTAAGCGCAGCAAGCAGACTAACAAGGACTATAAGCGCTTTTTAGCTAAGAGAGTAAAGTATCTAGCTAACAGTTTATACAGTCTAATAAGCTAAGTAATTAGCTTGCTAGCGTATAGAAAGCATGTTGTGTTAACAGACAGTAACTTAGGCAGCGTGTACTAGTCTAAGGATAAGAAGATCTTCTACTTAAATAGCTAACCTATCTACATTAGCTAGTTCTGCAAGATGGCTTAGGACATAGTAGTTAAAGTAAAGAAGATGTTATAGCAGGAGCTAATATAGCTTAAAAAGGCTAAAGAGCAGTTTGCTATTAATCTAGCGCACATAGTAGACAAAGTAACTTTTACGTAGTAAGGCTAGTAGTTTGTGTCGCACGTGTCTCACGCGATATTATACCTATGTACTGCACTATTCACTTATTAGGCATAGCTCCTATCTTGTACAGTATATAGTTAGCTTAGAGCTCTATTGAGCTCCTTAGACCTTACAATACACTCATTCCACCTTGTTTAGATCTCGCTCCCTTGTTGAGTTGTTTGCCATATGCTCCCTCCTTAGCTCATGCAAGAGTTTGCAGAGCAGCGTAAGAACAGTCTAGCAGACAAGCTATACTAGATGCTGACCTAGGTTAAGCAGAGCGCGCAAGGCTGTAGGCTAAAGCATTACAGAAAGTAGCATATTAAGCAAGTTAAGTAGTACTTGCGTTAAGTTAACTACTTTTTAACACTGCTCTTAGTATGCGTGCACATAACGTCTAGACAGCTAGGTTAAGGGCTAGAGATCTTGTTAATAAGGTTTTGTAATAAGCTGCTATAGAACTGCAATATCTTTATAGTAGATAGCTAAATTATAACTATTGTCTGCTATTACAAGTCTTAGTTGCAGTAGAATAGACTAAAGGTGGTTCTGCGTTTTCTTCTACTGCGGCTAGGGCAGGTTATAGCTATCTACTTAGTATACTTACAGCTATTCTAGGAGTATCTTTAGGTGCAGGTGCTTAGCAAAGAACGCATTAACTACATCTAGGTAAATAAGCAAAGGCTGTAGTTAACAGACTATTTAATGTAGGCGCTAAAGCAAAAAACAGGTAAGAGACTAGGCGTTAAGCTACACACATAGAACTACTAGCACATAGCTGTTAGTATTAGGCAAGTTACAGTTAAGCACTTATTTAGTAAAGGGTATTAAAATAATGTTAGAGAGATTAAAGAAGCTAAGGTAGATAAAAAAAGCAAGAACTTAGTAAAGCTATAAAACTTATAGATAATAGTTATAGGCTTAGCAAACTATAGTGTGCTAATTAACATTATTAAGCATCTTAGCTTGCGCTTTATTAAGGCGTTTTAACCTCTTAGCATAATATAGCACTGCTTCTTAGGACTTAATAGTAGGTTTAGAGTAGTACAGCAAGAGAAGAAAGTAAAAGGGGGACGTAAGAAGAAGAAGAAAAAGAAGGAAAATAAGAGAGAATTAGGCTGTTATAGAATAAAGTAAACACAAGAGTAAGACATTAGCAGCAAGAGTAAAGAGAAAGAGCTAGAACTACAGCCTTAGAGAATTTGCGTGCAAGATAATTAAGACAAAGCTATTAAAAAGGCAATGCAGCAGGTAGTTAGGCAACAGGAGATTAGCTTTTAGTCTATAGAGCAAAAGTAGGCATTGCATGCTGTACTTAACAGTTAGACGCTGCTTGTAGTTGTGCTTCTAACAGGCAGAGGTAAGAGCTTACTGTTTACTGTGCTAGTGTGCATAGACAATGCTAGCGTTACTATAGTTATTATTCTGTATTAAGAGCTTATTAACAACATAGTAGACTGTATACAGAAGTGCAGAATTAACTGCATTAAGTAGAAGCATAGTAAGACTAACCTAGCTGCTATAGTTATAGTTAGCGCTAATGCTATAAGTAATATTATAAGCAAAGGGAACTTCTTAGGGTACACAACTATGCTAAGCACAAAGAGGATGCTGCAGCAGGTAGTAGTAGACAAGTATTATCTTATCTTTATAGCAAGCTACTAGCAGCAGAAGCTAGCAAAACTAAAGAATCTGCAGTTGCTACTGTGCCTAATAGTACTGCTCACAGCAACGCTTCTGCTATCACAAGAGTGCAAACTAGAGGCTGGCATGCTAGTTTAGTGTGCAACGTACGTGCGCGCTAGCACTGTCTAGCCAAACACGCAATACTTTGTGTTGTAGTGTTAAGCTAGCAAGCTAGAGGAGACAGCGCTTACAGTAGGCTTACAGCAGCAGTTGTTA